AGCCTTCCGCTCCTCCAACCAGTACTGTCCTCTAGGCACAGAAGTCACCTTGGCCTCCTTTTAGCTTTTTGAGTGAGCCAAGCTCCTCCCAACACCAGCGCCTCCAACAGCCTGTACCTCCGCCTAGAATGCTCTCCCCTCTTCCTTGGCTCATTACTGTCGTTCTTCACTTCATTACTTCATCACCCTCCTGGGTCACCTTTCAGATTCATTCAGGTCCCTCTATCACACGCTCTGGGGGCACCCCATATCTCTCACAATTATAACCAACTATTTGTGTGGTACTGTCTGTCTCTCTACAAGATAGCTACCTTCATGAGGACAGCACCGTATTCACTGTGTCCGTCCCTGTATCCAGAATGATTTGCTAGATTGCAGCCCTTCTTTGAGCGACCAATTCTCCAAATTATCAATTAACCAAAAACTTCTCTAGAAATGGTTTGAAAAGTTTATAGCAATTCATGTTTCAGCAAAGTTATCAAAAATGCAGTCATTTCAATGACAACGTCTCATGTAATTTGAATTTGGGGTGTTGTCCCTGTCAGCACAGTCAAGGGATTTTATAAACGTTACTGCGAGTTTCTACCTTTCAAGTGAATAAACTTCCAAGTTGTCAAGTGATCCTTTTTGTCTTTCAATTAGTCTTGCTTTCCTTGGTCCAGGAATTGTTTTCTTGAGTGGAAGGGAGAGAGAGGCAGTTAATTTTCCAGAGAGTTTGCAACAGAGGGTAAAACAAAAAATGTGCTTCACATTACAGATGCCCGAGTACTTTTCAAGATGGCATGCAAATGTGTTGTGCATCCATTACAATTTCCATTAGTACCATATGAATCATGAATCATAATAAAAAAGTGCAATTCAGTTACCTCGACTCGGTTGCTGTTTGCAGAAAGAATCCAGATAGTTTACCTTGCAGGGTGAAATGAAAATGTGTTTTATAGTTCAGATGCCTGAGAATTTCTCAGCTGCTCCACATTTTACACGCAGATGGATTGGCTTTCCCCACATGCCAGTGAAGTCCAGGATTTGTGGACATGAATGTGGAGGTGAAACTTTCATTTGGTGGAACGACAAACTGAAGCCTGCTGTGTGTTGAGGGTCTGAGTGTTTGTGGGGACATCACAGGTGGGCATGGACAGACGCATGTGTGAAAACATTCCTGCATAGCACGCATAATTCCACCACTTTCCCTCCTGCGAAAGACAGCAAATCATTAATTAAACAAGGAATGGCATACGGCACTGGAAATGCATAGAAGAGATAGACACATCTATCTTTTGTAAAATCCTTAACACTTCGAATGTAAAAGATCTAAAAGTCAAAGTACAGAACAACTGTCATGTCAAAAAACATATTGGGCAAAGCAATTTGCTATAAACATTGTAGATAGTTCACTGAAGATAATTTTTGGTTAATCAATTATTTGGGGTACTAGTCATTGGATGTATTGGTAACGTCGTGACTTGTTATTTATAAAGACTGATTTTGGTGACTGTCTTAGCGCTGTTTGAAAGCAGTGCTGCCACACACAGTCATGTGTCACTTAATGGCGGGGATATGTTCTGAGAAATGCATTGTTAGGTGATATCGTCATTGTGAGAATGTCATAGCATGTCCTTACACAAACATAGATGGTGCAGCCTACTATATATCTAGGCTATATGGTGCTAATCTTATGGGACCACTGTTGTACGTGTGGCCCGTTGTTGATTGGAACGTTGCTTTGCGGCACATGACTGTAGTGGATATTCAGTAAATATTTGTTGAATGAGTGAATGAACAGTGCCATATGCTCATTATTGCCTTCACACACACTCCCTAACAGGCCGTTTGGACCCCATCATTCCAAGCGGCCCAGGAGGGGCAAAGGCACTGGCTGGCTGGAGCCTGCCCCTCCGTGCTCTCTGGCCCCAGGGGTCTGAGGGCCCCGAGGGCCGCAGGACTTGTTTTCAGAATGGTGGGCCGCAAAGTTCAGCCCAGTAATTCAACCCTCTGAAACTAATAACGTCAACAGTGAACAGCCCCACCCTGGTCTGCAGCCGGGAAATCCTAGCTGAAGAAAACTTGAATTTCATTTTTCCTGGCCGAGTTTTCTTTATTCAGTTTTGATTTTCTTGGACAAATTTGTTAGAGTTTTAAACAATCATTCAAAAGTGGAAAATTGGAACACATCTTAACCAGTGATCATATACCTTGTTTAACAGAGCATAAGACTAAGTACAGAGGAGATGCAAAATATATTTAAAAATGAGGTTTCAGTTCTACAGGATTTTCTGCTCCGTTGGTGGAGACGAGTGAACGCACATTTAATACTGGAAACGGCACTGTTTTTAGGTTTTTAAACTCTGAGTCCTTGGCTCCCTCCCTCCTCATTGCTTTACTCTCAGTTTCAGGGTGTGGGAGAAGCCGCCTTTTGCACCAGACCATCCCTTCATTTGTGCAGCGCTGCGTGGCTTTGCTGCTTCTGGCGAGGGCCACCGGAGTAGCACATGATGTCAATCATTTCATCCCTGGGTACTAGAGGTCACCATAGAGACGGATTGTGGCTAAGAGGTAGGCATTTAGATGGCCCTGTTTTATGCAAATTAAAGAAAAGGAATTAAAAGCAATCCTCCTAAAGTCACTGCCCAATAATGTAACAGGGTCAGGGAAACGCAGCAGGACGGAACCCTGTTTGATGCTGGCATCGAACTTGGCCTCAGCACATCTGGGTTCTGGTTTGGGCTCTGCCACAAATTAGCCGTGGGACTGAGGGCAAGTCCCTTCACTTCTCTGAGACTCAGTTTCCTCATCCGTAAGTGGAGATAATTACTAATACCTGCCTCAGTTTCGGTCTGTCCCCCAGCAGAACCCTGATGGCCCACTCCGAGTGAGAGAAGAGTTAGTGAAGGGTTTCCTCTCAGAGATGTGTGCCCTCAGAGAGTTACAGGACCTGATGGGACCAGTGAGAGCAGGAAGCCTTGCCCACCCCTGGGCCAAACGGGCAGAGTGAGGGAGCTGTTAACAGCAAGAGCTGCGGCTGTGGGAAAGGGGCCCCGACCTGAGCGGGGATGTAGGTGGAGAAACACAGCTCCTTCCAAAGTGTGGCCTAGGAGGGAGGGAGCCTGGGGATCAGTCCTTCCACCCAGTGGGCTGCTGGAGCCTATGTGTACATCTCTTCTGAACTCCATGTTCACTGATGTTAGTAGCTTAAAAACCATGGTAGAAATATTCACACCATGGAAATGGACAAACATCTCTACAAATCAGACTGTTTGTTCCTTAGAGAGGTGGTTGTTACCCATTTACCAGCAGACCAGTGCCTTGACCTAGCTCTTCCTGCCCTTCCATTCCCTCTGGTTCTTCCTACTAGATAAATGAAACTATCGCTAAAGGGTAAGGGAACAGGTGATGCAGTCTCGATAGGCCAGAGTCCAGGGTGCAGGACAGGGTAGGGATGGTGGAGAAAGCATCAGAGTCAGGGGTGGATATAAAATGAAGATAACCAGCACAGCTCTTAGGGTTGGTGTGAAAGTTGTATAAAACGATGAACATAAGATTACTTAGTAAGTATTGAAGTGCTTCATCAAAGATGAAGCGTTGTATAGAAGTTGCAAGGACTCTTCCTTAGAAGGAAGAAGCTGAGCCAATGATGAGTGTGTGTCCTGAACCAAGGGGCTGGGACATCAGCATCATACACTGGGACACGCCCTTTCTCCTCTTCTTCCTTTCCTCTACCCTGCTGCCTGGAACACAGCCACCCCTGGGCTGGTGGGGTGGCGAGAGGTAGGGAGGAGAGTCATCTTTGGGTAATGGTCAACAGGTAGCAGAAACCCAGGCAGTGTTCATTGTTCTCACAGAACAGGGTTGCCTATCTAGAGATCCTCGACCCCGAAAGAGGCTGCCCACCAGCTTTTCCTCTTCCATCCTTACCGTGTGACTTTTGGCCTCATGGTTGCAAGAAGACTGCTCCACCGCTGGCATCACATCCAGGAGCCCACCTCTCTGAGCCATCAGTGCTGGTGGGAGAAGTTCCATATCACTTACATGGTGATTCTTATTACAACACTCAGGTCGATGATTAGGGTAGGAAGGAGTTGGGGACACAATTTCTTGGTAAAAGAGAGAGTGGGACAGATTCGCCTGTAGATGTTTATTCTTACTCTCACGTGGAATAGCCAGGAGAATCGTCAAGACACAGTATTAAAACAAAGGAGAAAGAAAGAAAGAGAAGCAGAAATCACATTACTGAGTGGGGTGAGGCAGGGCTTGAGTGTCCAGGCCCGGAGAGAAAGGCCAGCTTTCAGGAGCAGCCTTTGCAGCCTGGGCAAGACCAGGTGGCCCCTGAGAAGGCTTGAGAGCTCTGGAGCTGTCCCATGACCCGGCATCCCATCCATTGGCTACGTGACCCTTGTTTCCTCATTTGTAAATGCTGAAGGGTGTCATGGAGAACAAACAAAATAAAAACATGTGAAAGTATTTAGTTTAGCACAGTACCTAGCACTTAGTTATTTGTCAATGTTGCTTCCTTGTGGCCTCAATGGTACGGTCAGTGAGTGAGTCTCTTGGTTGGGTCTGAGCTGGGACACAGTAGCAGCCATGGAAGGAGGCTTGGGTCCTGGGTGTAGCAATGCCACCAGTGAGGACAAGGTCACCCCCAGCCCAGATTTAATTTACTTCTCTGAAAACTAAGAGTTTGGGACAGATGGTTACCATGGGGACGTCCAACTCAAATATCATCAGTTCAAGAATTTAGAGGGTAGAAAAAGTTTGCCCTTATCTCAAGACTGTCTTGTCCTCATCTGTGTGACCTGTTTGTGGGGCTTCCTCAGCTGGGACCTGGTGGCCGTCTGCCTCATACGCTGGGGAGCAGCAGTGCAAGTCACCAGTAGCAGGGACCCTCAGAGGGCTAGAAGACCCGCACTCCTCCCCATTGTGATGGGGGCTCTGATTCTATGACTCAGGGGGCTAGAAGACCTGCACTGCTCCCCATTGTGATGGGGGCTCTGATTCCATGACAACCGTGGGCACTCCTGGAGTCCCTCCTGGTAGAGGCTGAGAATTAAAGATCAGGAACAAGGAGGGGGAGTGGCTTCCCAGATGTGTAGAGCTTATGAGGCAATGGAGAGGTAAGAGAGCCAGCCTCAGCCACCTTCAGCTTCCTGCAGGAAATGGCCAAAGGGAGACGCTTCAACCCGCCTTTAGACAAGGACGGAAGATGGGTAAGAAAGATGATGGCCTCTCTTACCTTTCTCAGGCCACAGGGGTGTGACTGGGGGCACAGATCCTGCTTCTACTGCATACTGTAGCAAGACTTTTGACAAATCACTTCCCCAAGCCTCAGTTCCTTCATCTGTGAAATGGAACTCTCATAGCACTCTTGGGAGGATTGAGTGAAATGATGTGTGTAACACGCTCAGCACACTGGCAGCTTGTGAGCGTCCACTGGGCAGTATTGCTGCGAGCTCTACTTTTTCTTTTTTCTGTAGCATCTGTCTTCTAATATCCTATGTAACTTATCATTTTGTGTGTGTTGTTTGTCTCCCCCTGCTAGAATATAAGCTCCATAGGGGCTGGGATCCTTATCTTTTGTATTTATTGCTTGTATCGCGAGTGTCTGGAAGAGGATCTGGCACTCAGGAGGGGCTTAATAACAACTTGTTGAAGGAGTTTGTATTATACTGGAAACCTCTAAACACATTCCTGTTGGCTCACAATCTGATCCCCTTGGTCCCACCAGACTATGAAATGGGAAGAGTCCGGCATGTGTCATTTACCCATCTCGATCGTTTGAAAACTTTCCCTTCTCAGCTTCAGGCTCTTGTTCAGACCACTTTCTTACGGTATCGCCTACGAAGCCTGGTGGGATTATCACCATCGTGCCATCTTTAAGAAACGTCTGATTCCCCGCTAAGTGTGAGGTCCTGTCTCCGCCGCAGCCCAGGCACCTCTGTTGCTTGGTCTCTAATACATATATTTCATGCATTGACAGGTCTTTTGCATTTCTAGTGTCCACGATTCATTCCAAGAGGAACGTAAGGGGGATCACAGGGGTAGACTGTGGCCTGCGCCCTCCCTGACGCTCACAAGGAGAGACAGCGTTAGAGAAAGCCATGGTGCTAACCTCTTTTAAGGCAGGAATACATAGAAAAGTTAAAAAATTTTCTGTTTGTTTAAGGCTAAAAATGGAAAACACCTTGGAAAATTTGGGTCTGAAGGCTTTAAAAAACTATATCCACCTTGGCATAACTTTGTCCTAAGTAGCTTAGTCTTTCTAAATCTCAGTTTCTTTGTCTGTTAAATGGGAGCATAATGTGGCCAGGTTAGAGGGTATTATGGGGTCTCATGAGATAATTCATTCAAAAGTGCTCAGTATAATGCATGGGAACATAGTAACCTCTCAGTACTAGCTAACACTATTATACATGACAGTGTTTTTGTATACCCTGATTTATTCCACAAAGATTTGAAGTAACATATGGAAAGTATTCACAATAAAATAGTAAAGTATAAATAAAATAAAAATTCAGAACCAGTTTAAATATACTCTAGAATAAGAAGCTGAGACTGGGAACACATATAACATAGATATACAGGCCAAATGGCCTATATGGTAGATATTTGGGAATCAAATTGGACTGAGTTGCCTGGCAGCCAAAGTAAAATGGGAAATAGTGTGAACTACATAATGCTGATCAGCCACAAAGAGAAAAACTTAAGTTTCTCAGACTAAGTAGCCTCACCTTTTCTATCACTCACAATATCAGTTAGGATTGTGTTTGACTGAATATTCTAAAAAGCTGACTACAGTATCTTAATTATGGGGGTCTGTAATTCTCAAGTAACAATAAATCCAGAAGGAGGAAGTTCAGGGCTGGTACCCACACTCTAGGAAGTCATTGGAGGCCCAGGTTCTTTTCAGCCTTGTGTTCCGACATCCTTAATGCAGCACTGCTCAACTCAGGCATGTAAATGAGGGGAAGGTCAGAGGACAAAAAGAAGGCACCTGTCAGCTAAGTTTCCCCCCTTTGATGGGGAAAACAGTAGCTTTCCCAGGAGCCCGTCCCTGCAGACGTCTGCTTTCATCTCATTGGGTCACATGCCAATTTAGCTGCAAGGGAGTTTCGGGAGGTATTTTTCAACCAGCCCCATTGCCACCCCGAACAAAGTCACGGTTCTGTTACGAGAGAGGAAGCGAGACTGAACATTGCATTTCTTCCTGCAATCCTGGGGATGTGCCCAGGTTCTGGGTTTAGCTGGAGGGGCACCAACTCCCAAAGTCTGACCTGAGCCTTTGGTGTGCCAGCACCTAAGGGCATGAAAAGAATAGTGCTGATCATGAAGTTTCCCAAAGTAACTTGTTGGCGAGTTGGGGAAATTAAAGGAATTGTTGGCTCAGAGTCAGCGGCGGCCCACTTGGGAGGACAGTAATTGCCACATTAGAGGTGGCAGTCATTTTGCAGTTGACCTTGCTGGTTGTAATCTGGCTGTTGCCGGCTAGGAAAGGCTTTTTCCACACACTTTCACCTTCCTATTTAATATTTCAGTCATTGAGTGATTGAATGCAGCAAAAATTTCACCGCCAACTAGTTAAAAAGCTATATTTCACGGTTACAATATCTAACAGAAGGGTTTATTTCACAGCTATCATGTTTTAGCCATTAAATATATATTTTAAAAGAGTGAAATTAAAATGCTAGAGCCATCTTTTTTTACAGTGATTTAGTCCAGAGACTTGCAGAATACAAATGAAGCCAAGTCAGTTGTCACAGAGCTGGTGAGAGACATCATTCGTGATGTGAGAACAGCTCCCCACCCCGGTCTGATTTTCCTCACCTTCCATGAGGCAGGAGTGTTGATGAGGTCAGACTGGAAGAAGGGAGAAGGGAGAGGTTAGGAGTCCGGACGCCCTTTGTATTATTTATATTTACTTTTAAAAATAATTGTTTAAAAGGGTTTAAAAATATGATACAGAATGAATTAGAAATATATAGCTTGACTTTGAAAAATTTCCAGGGTATTTTAAGTGGGAAAGCAAGGTACGAAATGGTACGTCTCATCTGGTCCAATTTTGTAAAGCCATACAAGTTCCCTCGACAGTTACAGGGGTTCGTGTCCGATCACATCAGCACTCAGTTGTTCATGTTGTTATCTGGGGTGGCAGCGGGGCTGACAAGATGGGGAAGGAGAAAGTAACCCAAAGTTACTATTAAGTAAAAAGGCATTTATAAGTTTTAGACATCACATTTATAACATGATCCTACGTATGCCAAATTATCCACGTATATGGATAATCCAGTCTATACCCACATCCATTGGCATAGGGATGTACATAAAGGATGGTCACCATGGAGTTAGGTGGAAGGGGTGATAGGATTTCAGGGGAATTTCGCTTCCTTCCTCTGATTTTCTTTATTGTTTGTTTTTTTTAAAACCATGAATATGTATTACAACTCGAATCAGAAGCAAATACAATTATTTGTGCGGTGGACAAAAAGAGGATGTAATAGTTGCGCTTAGTTAAGAAAGGCTTAACGGCCATGGCGGACAATGACCGTGAAAAGAAAGTCTTCCTCCTCTGCTGCTCCTCCTCCCCTGGGAGGAACGTTTCGGTGCCGCCCATCCTGCTGAGCGCCTGTGTGCCCCATGGGGATGGGCTTGTGTGGCTGTTTTACTCTCTTCACCCTGTCCACAGGCAGCCATGCGAACGTGTCCCATGGGAGTCCTATTTCCGTGTGTTCCTGTAAATTATGTATTGCTGCTTTGTGCACATGGATCATTTATTCACATAAATGGTGTTGGGTTATAGATCTCGTTTTGTTTCTTTTTTCCACTTAGCACCGAGTTTAAAAGACCTCCTCATTGCTATGTCATCTAGCCTGTTGCTTCTCACTCCTGGTGTGAACGCCTCACCAAGTTTACAACATACACGATATAATCTCCCCACCTTTTGACATAAATAGTAACATACTAAACATGCTCTTGTGCAGACATTAAACATGAGCCTGAATAGACAGTTATGTCGCGACTTGAGAAGGAATGAGAGAGAAGAGTAGCGGTGGCCAATATTATTGTAATCCAAAAGAGAAGGAAGGGGGACGGGCCTGAGGCAATGGCAATGGGTTGGGGATGAGGGAGGGGACAGCTGCAAGCACCTCTGATCACATGCATTTTCTCTTTTAATCACATCTACCTTATCAAGTAGGTATTATTATTCCCACTTTACAGATAGAGAAACTGAGGCTTGGAAAAATTAAGTTTCTTGCGTAAGGCTCACCTTGCAGCAGATAGAGCTGGGACTGGACACAGGATCTTTGCATCTACAGTCTGTACCCAAGCACTGTATTATGCTTGCTCCCTTTGTGGGGCTTTTCACCCAGAGTTGGGGTCTTGCCTTTTGTTTGTATTTTAGTTTCCACTCATATTCCTCTCCTAGCAATCCCTACTTCAAAGCCCACTTTCTTGGAGTGGCTTTTAAGAGGTGCTATTTAAATAAAATTGGGGTGAGTTACGGTGGCCAGCAAGTGCTACTACCCACATCTCCCTTCAGGAGTGAACTCCTTTCCCCAGCTGCTAAGAACGTGGCTTTCAGTGGTCTACCCCTGGGGATTCCTTGGCTGAAGGAAGCTGCATCCCCAAGGTCATCCCCTCTTCCCGGGGCAGCCCACACCCAGTGACTGATGGATGATGGTGTACAAAGGCCCAGTCCCCTTGCCCCAACTGAGGACACCTCTGAGAGGCAATCCCAGTCCAGAGCTTCCTGGGGCATCAACTGAGGCCTTTCTTGGGACCACCTCCCTCTGCCCACTCTTGTTTCCTTCCCTCCCTTTCAAAGGGAGATATCAAGTCCCTACCCCCCAACCCCATCCCCTTCCAATGATCTTCCCACCCTCTACCATCCTACATTCTCAGTGGAGAGTCAACTGGGACCCTTCACTCCTCACCTTCCCCGCCCATGTCTTAGGGTTCACCCCACACCCGTGGGAGGTTGGCTCACCTCTATGAACGTGGGCTGGATCCTTGGCTCCAAGTATGGGGAACTCCCTGACCAGAAGGAAGATCTCCATAACACATTTCTGTCTTCTCAGAGTACATCAGCGCTCTCTCACAGGGCCACACCCTCCTTACCAGGCCGCAGAAACATTTCCAGGCTCCAGCGCAGCAGGGGTGGCCCCCGTAACTTGAAACAACTGGCAGTCATGGCCTTGGGCCATTACAGGATCTTTTGTCTTGGAAAGTATACTTGAAAATTACAAAAATCATTCCATTTCCGTCTCACGCCAGAAGCAGCCAAATTGGGTTTTAATCACTTTACAGAGGAAGCCCTGATACTCAGTTTAGAGACTCAGATGTGTCTGGTTTTAATCAAGGCGTGTGCTGTTTTTTCCAGTTCCCTCACATCGGACTCACACAAAAGACACCAGAATCCATCACAAAGGCTATGTTAAAAGAGCCCCACAGTCCACGTTTGTCTCGGCAAGTGGAAGGGAAGCTACCACCAATCTACAAAGTCCGAGAGCAGGTGAGTCCAGGGCGCTGGCCGCCACACACTCTCCAAGGGGGCTGTGCCACTGGCATTTCTGGCCAGACAATTCTTCCTTGGAAGGAACTGCTCATTTACCATCCCTGGACCCCTAAATGCTGGTAGTACCCCCACCTGACACCCTGATTACGGTGATACCCCAAATACTCTCTAGACGGAACCGCCTCCTGGTCCAGACAATCAAGTTAGACTTATCTAGGGACAAGAAGCAACAGCAACACTTTTGGTTACTGCTCACGGTTCATTAACACCCATGTTCTGTCTCCCCCACCAAGTCACGAGCAACTTCACAGGCATGAAGTGGCCTGAGGGGGACAAGGCGTCGACTTCATTTGGCTGACTCACTCTGCCACCCTGGGCCAGGGCTCTGGTCTTCCAGGATCTTATTAGTCAGATGAAGATGTTGGCCTAAATGGCCTCCAAAGTCCTTCCCTGCCATCAATTCCATGAACTTAGGAACTTTTCCTTCCTCGCTTCCCAAGAAGGTGATTTGAAAGAGAATTTTTGTGTTTTTCAACAAGTTGGCAATAGGTTGCGGTTTACAGCCTTGAGTTGATGGGCACACCTCCGATCTCACTGTCTGTGCTGTTCGCTCCTCTCCAGCGATGGGTGTAATTCTTACTTAGCTGTCCCTTTGTCTTCCTTCCACTCCACTGTCTGTCAGTTCTGAAAGCATCCTGGGGTTCTGATGTGTGCCTTTTCATCTCTCCCCTCGATCTTTTCCAGCAAGCAGTAAACAACAACTTCCCCTTCTCCGTTCACGACAATCGGCACAGCTTTCAGGACTCTGGATATTACCTTGACTCCGTGAGTATTTCTCTCCAAATCACTAATAAAACGGGGAGCGACATCAGGGCTCTTGATTTTCTGAGGTGCGTTGAAAATAGAGGACTTTGCTCAAAATTGGAACGAGGTCAAAATTAAAAGCCTCATAACAGGCTTAAAAAAAAAATGCACGAAGCTCTCAAAGGTCCACGCAGCTTGCAAAGTCTGCACGGGCCATCCGACGATGCTTTTGTGCGCTTGGTCCTTCTCCAGTGCCTTCCCACAAACGGTCTCATTTGTGAGCTTTCCTGTGAAGATCTGTCATGGGAGGGAGGGATTGCCTATGTGTGTGTCTGGAGGGCAGAGCCAGGGCCCACAAGGAGGAGTCAAAGGGAGGCGGAGCTTACACAATATAAAGGACTTCTTAATAACCGGAAGTGTCTTTTCTCTAGAGGTGGTAAGTTCCCCGTAGGAACGATAACACTCGATAGTGGTAGTTAACACAGCACTATGCAATGGAAAAATATTGCAAGCCACATATGTAATTTCAAATTTTCTGGTAGCCACATGTAGTAAAAAGAAAAAGGTGAACTTAATTTTAATAGTGTATTTTATTTAACCCAATAATTCCCTAAATTATCAATTCAACTTGTAATCAATATAAAAATTATTAACGAGATATTTTACATTCCGCAAACTAAGTGTTTAAAATCCAGTTTATATTTTACACTATGGTACCTCCATCTGGAAGATGCACATTTCAAGTGCGCATGTGGCCGGCATTGTCAGAGTGGACAGGGCAGGGTTGGCGTGTCTTAGGTAGAGGGTTGTATCAGGTGACCTCTGAGAATTCTTACATGAAAGTCCGTGATGGTGATGATGATGATGTTAATAATACCCACCATTTATTAAGCATTTGCCATATGCTAGCATATTAGCTCATTTAATCCTCACAATTAACTACGGTTGTTGAAATTACAACAATTAACCCTACTGGTTAATTACTCTTATCATCCCTAATTTAGAAGTGAGGAACCTGAGAACCAGTGAAATTAAACTTGCCCAAAGTTACTCTTTCCTCAAGGCTCTCATATCTAAGCTAAGTTCAAGTGGTTTAACCTAAAAAGTCTGGTTTGCTCCTGGCAAAGTGTTGAATATGGAACCAGGACTTCCACTCTGCCTGCCTCTCTAAATGGAATGTTTAATATGGTTTTCTAAATTACTGGAGTAACATATGTCCTTAAAAATTTTCAAATAATACAGAATTATATAAAATAAAAAAAATAAAATAAAATTTGTACTCTTATTTTCCCTCCTCACAATCTCACTTTGATGATTCACTAATAATGGTTTGGTGGGTAAAATTTGAGAATTTTTTGCAATTCACATGAAAACATACACACGTAAGTGTATAGGATTGTAGCATGTAAATTTCACCAGCGCTATGCTGGTCTCATAGCAAGCATTGGAAGCTTTCCAACTTTCTCTCTGTTTTGGAATAGCTTACCTAACGTGGATTTTCAGTTTAATGAAGTTAGATAGAATTTGCCCATAAAATTATTTGTGTTTGATATCTTTTTTAGAGTCTTTTTTACTACCTTTTCAATTTCCCCCTTAATTAGTAATCTACTCAAACTTTCTATCTCTTCTTGAGTAGATTTCGCTGATAATGTGTTTGCCTAAAATCTATCTAGTTCATTTCAAATTTATTGGTATAATATCTCTTAAAATACTCTTATTTTGCTGTTCTTTTTCATCTTTTTCAGTGTTGCATGTTTAGTTCAAGTACTAGCAAATATTTTTGTTAATAAATTCATTAAAACTATACATATGCCTGAGATTATTGCTTTCGGCTACATCCCAATGGTTTTTCTAACTAGGATCTCATTATTATTAGCTTCCAAATAGTTTATGATTTAATTCCTAATTTTTCTTTTAAATAAAAATCATTTAGAAGAATGTTTTGAATTTTCTATATAGCCAGAATTTTTTAAGATCACCCTTTTGTTGCTAATATCTAGTTTTATGGGTTATAGTACATTTTATAGAATATAATTTGTGATTTCTACTTTTTGAATTAAAAACATTATGTTTGTTATCTTGGACATGATTAATTTTAATAAGTGTTTCATGGGTGTTTATAAAGAATATATATTTCCTGTCTGTTGGTTACAAAGTTTTTTATGTTTATTAATTCAGGACTGTTAATTATGTTATCCAAATTCTTCATATCTTTTCCTTAATTTTTGTCTTGATCTGTCATTTTTTCCTTCTAAGATTATTCTTGAGTTTCTAAATTTCTTTTGCCTTATATACTTTAATAGCATATCTTTCTGCATAAAAATTCATGAATATTTTATTTCTTGGTGGCTTTTTTTATTTATCAATATGAAGTATCCCTCTTTATATGCTTTGAAGCTTCCAGCCATGAATTCTACATTACAGTATTAGTTTTGCCACTATTGCTTTCTTTCTCCTAACATTTGTTCCTTATGTTATGGTCCATTCCTTTGTCTTCATACTTTTTAGTCATTTTGTTTTGGGTTTGTTTTTTATTGTAAATAGAATAAAGCATGGTTTTTTAAAAAAATCCAAGAGTCGTTGTTTCTTTCTATGAGAATTTAACCCATTCATGTTATTTGACAATTTATGTTTTGGGTTTATTTCTGCTATCTTATTATATCTTTCCTATTTATTATGTTTGCCTGTTGTTTCTTTTTCTTTTTTTTTTTTGCTGAGGAAGATTCTCTCTGAACTAACATCTATGCCAATCTTCCCCTATTTTATATGTGGGTCACTGCCACAGCATGGCCATTGCTGAGTGGTGTAGGTCCGTGCTTGGGAACAAAATCTGGGCCAACAAAGCAGAGTACACCAAACTTTACCACCAGGCCATGGGGCCGGGCTCTGTTTCTGTTTTTTCCTTCCTCTCCTCCTGTCTTCGCCAGGTTGAATTTATTTGTTCACTCTGACTTCTATTGATCTCCTACTAGTGGTTACCCTTAAGCATAAATGTTTAAGAATTATATTAACACTATATTACTCCATGAGTGTAAAAATTAATATCTATAGCTTTTCCCCAAGAATAAGGCAAGTCCATCAGGGTGCTCCAGCTCCCGCACTTCCCTTTCCAGGGGTTCTGGTGGTGGCAGGCTGTGCTCTCCCAGCTCGTGGAGGTGCCAGTCTCACGGGATAAGGTTAGGTGGCATCTCCTGAGTTCACAGCAGTGGCCCTGGGTTCCCCAGTCAAGCTGAAATCCTGGAATGGCAGTTCCAGATTGGTGCTTTCTCTCTCTCAACCTTCTTCCCTCCCTGTTCCTTCCTTTCTTTCTTTCTGTGGATTCTTAAAGTTTCAATATGTTTTATAGTCAAGTGATCAGCGAGTATTTAGACTGAATTACAAGCTTTACTTGTTACTTCCCCTGTCGCTCTTTCTCCTCTTTGTTTTGTCCCATCCTTATATTTGTTTTTTGGTTTTTTCCTAAAGTATCTGCAAGTAATGTGGGCAATGTGACCAGCATCTTCCATTTGTCCCTCCAGAGCCACTCTCCTCTTTTTCTCTCTGCTCTGGCCGCAGGGGCTGATCTGTGTGGACTATATTCCTCTCCAAGCACCTGGGACATGGAGCCGCTGCACTGTCGCTGGGGTTTCCCTGCATGTGCAAATAGCCCCTTTATTAAACTCTCCTCAGATTACCCTAGTTTGAGCATGCCATCTGCTGCCGCTCTGACTGATACTGACTCTTATAAAAAGATGGCCTCACTTTACTAACGTAAGGTCTATTTCCTTCTAGTCTTTTCTCTAAGCGTAGTGTTTTCTTTTTTAGTTTTTGCCTAGTTACGATCAAATCAAAGGCACAGTTTTGAATACACAGTAAGTCTCAGGTCCACATGTAAGGTGCTGAGAGTTACTGAAGAAGCCTGTGGGGGGAACCCAGTGGTGCTGCTTCCTTTATGGAAACCTCTGGGACAGGGAAGAATCTAGCCTCTTCAGACTCTTGGAGTAAGAACCATCTATCCCACTGAGTGCTGGGGACAGAGCCCGGGATGGATATGCCGTGGAGCCACCTGGGGACAGAGAACCTGCCTGGGGTGCCTGGGAGTCCAGGCTGCTTAATGGGCTGTTTCTGATCTGCTTTCTCTGGTTCTGCCCTCGGTGTCTCTAAACGTCCAGTCCCCCTGGTGGGAGTGGAAGCTTCCAGAACGAAAACAAACACCACCGTGATATTTTAGTGTTGATTTACACCCTTCAACAGGTTAGAAAAGATAACTTTTGTAACGATCGTCATATTGTGCATTTAAACATAGGATGTCATGTACCTGGTTTTACCAAAGACTGTAGGACTGTGTAACCTTGAGTATATTTCTCCTAATCTTCTTGTAATTCTTCCCCAGGGCCTGGGACGTAGGAAGATCTCCCCAGAAAAAAGGCAACACGTTTCAAGAAATTTCAATCTTTGGGCGTGTGACTATGTTCCATCTTGTCTTGACGGCTTTTCAAATAACCAAATATCATACGTCTATCAGGAAGCCATGGTGGTCCCAATTTTCAGACGCTTTCCAAGACATTATGATGAGATATGGAGTGCTTTTAAATTTATTCCTGAGCGAAGCTATACGGAGTTTTTGAAAAAGAATCCAAAAATAAGGTTTGCAATTGACAAAAAAGCCGGTTCTCCACTGGAGCCATAATCCTTCCAGAAGAGTCTTGATGAGTTTTATAATATTGGTATTTCTTTTGACATTCTTCAATTATGTGTCCAGCACTACCATTTAACATAAGATTTGTTTAGAATTAGAGATTAGAAGACTATACATGCCTTAATGCTGAGGCGAAGTTTTCTTGCAGTAATAGGAGATTAAAGTCTTTATATTCAGAAATAAGAAAGGCAACAGATTATGTTACCACTCCCCACCTTTAAAATATTTTTATGATTTTTAGTAAGGTTAAAAAAATACAAGTCCTTACAAAATAAAGATATGTGAAGATATACGGATTTTAAATGAAAATGTGTTTAAACGAATTTTAAAATGGCCACATTAACTTTGGGGGGAGTTGTAAAAATTACATAATTATATATGGTTACATTTTCATTTTGAAATTTCGAACAATACAGAGGAAGCAGGAGTCCCTCTAGATTTCACCACATCTCCAGTCCTTGCCCTGTCCCCAGAAGGAAGTTAACCGTTTGTTTTTCTTCTGTGCATTTGCAATCATATAAATGTGCATAACTTCATAAACATTTTGAACAGAAACTGTTACTCAGTACAGAATGTTCTATAATTTTCTTTTGAAATTTAACCATGTATCTTGGAGTTCTTGCAGTGTCAGTATGAATAGATTGATTTGCTTGTTAAACTGGTACACTGTATTCCCTAATATGGGTACACAATGTTTTTAAAAATTATCCTCTCACTAATGAGCATTAGAATTCTCATTTTTGGCTGTCAGACCTGGTGCTGCATGAACGTGCTTGGTCACCCTCTCTGAGTGGTGTTTACATGCACTCTGGAATAATCTCTGAAAAGTTACCTTGTTAGTGTTAGACTGGATAGTATGCGCGAAGTTTGAATAAATACTGCCAAATTACCTTCAAAAAACACCAGATCTATTAAATTTATACCAACAGTATCTGTTTCTCACCCCCTCAAATTATCTTCTAAATAATGATATTTAAAGACAAAAAAATAGTATCTTCCTATTTTCTTATTTAGCATTTCTCTGATTATTAGTGAAGTTGAGCATCTTTTCCCACTCAGTGGCCATTTACATTTCCTTTCTATAAATTGAGCAGCGTCACCATCATTCTACACCAAAATTTTCTTTTTTGTATTTGGGTATTTTTCCCCACAGATAAATTTTAGAATACCCAAATTATTAAGTAAATCCATTGCCAATTTGATAGGAATTTCCCCAAATTTAGACATTAATTTATGGGAAAATCAACATCTTTATACCATGGTGTGTCTCCCAATTTATTCAAATCTTATTTTATGCTTTTTAGTAAAGTTTGATATTTTCTTCACATGGATCTGAAGTGTTTCTATGTTTATTCTTGCATATTTTGAAATTCTGTGGCTATTTTTGACATTTTTTTTAACTTACACTCTTAGGTTGGTTTTGCCTGATGGGTATAAAAGCTATTGATTTCTGTATGTGAATCTTATATTTGACCACCTGGCTAAACTTCTCGTAATAAATAAATAAATAAATATTCTAATAAAGTTTAAAAGTTCCAATAATTTTTCAGTTCATCTTGGATTTTCTACATCGATGATTGTATCATTTGGGAAAGTGATGATTTTATATCATTTCTAACATTTCTACCTTCCCTGCCCCCATCTTATTGCATCAATTTGAATATTAGCACAGATAGTGCACGTCTTTATATTTTATTTCTGAATTTAATGGGGCTGCTTTTAATGTATCACTCTGAAGTCTGACTTTTACTGTAGGTTTTAGATAAATAACTTTTGTCTAGTTAAGAATGTGCTTTCATGTTCTTAGTTTCCTATTTTTTCCCCTAAAATATAACTCTTAAGTATATGCACATGGGAAACATTTCAAAGAAAATAAACAAACAGTGAAAAATAATTTCCCTCACATCCTGACTTCCAGTCCTCATTTTCTCTCCCAGAACCAGCCCTACTGTTATTTTTTAACGTGTATCCTTTTCCAGGGGGTCTGTGTATAGACTCACTCTCTCGTTCTCTGTCTCTCACACACACATACCCTTAACAAACATCCGAGGCAGACACTGTTCCACTGTTGCTTCCTGCCACTCCACTGCCAACTACACTTATGAAGATGTCTTCGAAGTTTCAAAGTCAATCCACATCACTACTTATAAACCCACTTATTAAAGAAAAAGCAAAACTGGACTGCCTGGTATTTCATTACATGAATGTGTCACAGTCCCTGTAATCTTTTGATGGCGATTTAGGCATTTTTCAGTCTTTTCCTACTATAAACAATCTGGAATAAACCTCTCTATAGAGAAATATTTGCATTCATCTATGAGCATTTCTATATGGTAAACTCATAAAAATAAACTTGTTCACCCAAAGAGTATGTGGATTCTAAATTTTAGTTCATATTGTCAAATTTTCTAAGAAAGGCTTTGCTCCAGCCTACAATTTCACCAACAAGATATGAGACACGAGAGCTCTGATTTTCCCACACGCTTGCATTATCCAACTTTATAACGTTTGCCAATTTGTTAGCTAAAAAATGGTATTGCATTTTCATTTGCCTCTTTCATTGTGCTTGTGTGTAACTATTGAAATGCCATTTGTGTTTCTTTTCTTGTGAACTGTTTATCTGTGTCTCACTAATTTTTCTAGTGGTTTGTTTGTCTTATTCTTTAATCATTTGTATGATTTCTTGCTATATTAAGATATTAAACCTTTTATATCATATATGTTGCGTTTTATCTAGTTGGTTGGTTTTTGTTCCTCTTTGTAACTTATATAAGTATTTTAATTAATAGACTTTATTTCTTAGTGCACTTGTGGGTTTACAGAAAAATCAAGTGGAAAGCACCCAGTTCCCTTATACTCACTCTCTCTCTATCCCCACCCCCAGAGCTTCCCCTATCGTTAACATCTTGTATTGGTGTGCCTATATTTTAATGTAGTAAAATGTATGAATCTCTTATTTAATGACTTCTGGATTTCATGCCTTGCTTAGGACCACCTTTGAGATTATTAAATAATTCTAAGAGGTTTTGCTGTAGTTCTTGTTAAAATTTTTTGTGATCTCTCTCACAGGAAGAATCCACTTCCTTTTTAAGGGATCACATGATTCCATCTGACCCACCCTGGATAATCTCCATATCTTTTTGTTTGTTTGCTTGCTAATTGACAGCACACATTTATCTCTCACGGTTCTGGGGCTGGGGAGTCCTAGACCAAGGCAGCAGATTCAAGTTTGATAAGGGCTTGTGCTCTCCAGAACCTCACAGGGCAGAAGAGCAATTTCCCTATCTTAAGGGCAACTGAGGGGCTGGCCCCATGGCCTTAGTGGTTAAGTTGGATGCACTCTGCTTCAGCAGCCTAGGTTCGAATCCCAGGCACAGACCTACACCATTCATCAAGCCATGCTGTGGCAGCGACCCACATACAAAATAGAGAAAGACTGGCACAGATATTAGCTCAGGGCGAATCTTCCTCAGCAAAAGAAAAAAGAAAAAAAGGCAATTGATTTGAGACCTTAATTACATCTGTAAAAATCCCTTTTTCCATATAACATAACATAATTATGGAAGCAATATTGCATGATAGTCACAGGTTCTGCCCACACTTTAGGGCAGGGCATTACACAACAGGGAAGGTTGATGGGGTCTTAGAATTCTGCCCACCACAAATATCACAACCAGGAAATTGACATTGGTACATTTCACAGACCTTATTCGGATTTTGCCAGTTTTATACACACTTGTGTGTGTGTATGTGTATATTTCTAGGTGTGTAGCCTCTTTTGCTGGCTACAAAATTATATATTGATTATATCTAGCTTGTTAATTGGCTAGTCAAGTCTAACATTTACATGATATATACACTCAGGAATTGAGTGGGGTACTTCACTTTCGGAATCCTTGTTTTTAATTTTTAATTATATATATATATTTTAACTATAGCAAATTTTCTTCAATTACTTCTTTGATTATTTTCTTTCCTCTGTTTTCTCCTTTTCTTCTAGAATGCTAAGAAGATGGATATTGACATATCTGGATCTATCTTCCTTGACTCTCAAGTGTTTTCTATTTTCTATCAGCTGGTCTATTTGCACTGGTTTCTGGGAGAATCCCTAAACTTCTACTTCCAGTTCTACTAATTGGCTCCTCAATGATCCATTCTGCTATTTACCCAGTTTACTGAGGTTTTCCTATAATCAAACAACATTTTAATTTCCAAGCTTTCTATCTGGCTCTTATTGAAGGATGCAATATTTAATTCTGTCTGATAAGAACTTCGCTTATTCCAATATGTTATTTTTCTCTGTTCACTTTGTTTTCTCAGGAATTGCTTTATCTGTTTGCCTTTCTAGCATGGTGCAAACATTTGGTGATTTTTGGTTTTATGCTTATGTTGGATTTTGAGGAGCCACCTTAGCGCATCTGTGAGCAGTGTGTGTGTTCTTCTCACACTCTCTGTGTGAGGTTGGGTGAGAGGCAGGATGTGCTGCCCTGGGGTGTGGCCACCAGCTCTGCTTCTGGGAGAGGGTCCCCAGTTCAGCTGTTGCCACCTTCCTGGGGCACTGCCTTGACCCCCATCCCAGGTAACCACTCTCAATCCCCTTGCTTTGGCACACACACAGATCCACTTCACTGCTTGGCACAGAGAATACGACAGGGACCCACCCCAGCAGAGAACCTCTATAGACCACTTCTGTCAAGTGCCCGGGCCCTGCCTCTTCCTAAACCCACTGACTCTACACCAGCACGCCTGGAGCAGTCACTACATCTGCAGCAGCCCGGACGTGCACGCTTTGATCCTGTCTCCCGTGTCTTAGACAATCAGGATCACTCGTCATAAATGGAAAGCAATCTAAAAGTAGATACAGTGAAAAAAAAAAATCCAATGTGACTAAATTCCGGCCAAGCATTGTTGCCTCCTCCAGACTTCTTGTCTGAGGCCTGCCCTCGGGTTGTTGAAAAAGGAGATTAGTAAGTAGAAGAGGTGTTAGACATACCG